CTGGCCCTGCCAACACCTTAGCTTCAGCTTGGTGAAACTCACTTTAGAATTCTGGACTCCAGAACTGTAAGAGAATAATGTGTGTGTGTTGTTTTGTTTCCTTTGAATATCAAGGATTGAACTCAGGGACACTCAGCCACTGGACCACATCCTCAGCCCTATTTTGTATTTTATTTAGAGACAGGGTCTCACTGAGTTGCTTAGTGCCTCACTTTTGCTGAGGGTGACTTTGAACTCACAATCTTCTTGTCTCAGCTTCCCGAGCTGCTGGGAAAATGTGTGTGTTTTTTAAGCAACACAAATCACCAAGTTCACAGTCATTTTTTATAGCAGTCATAGGAAACCAATATAGGAACGATATGAATAGCAAGGGAAAGAGCACACTAATTTATTAGCTGTTTCTAATAGGAAAATGTGGGAGGAACGAAAAGAGGTCTGCAGACTGCTAAGGAAAGGTGTTAGAAAAAAAAATAAGAAGGGGGTGCTTTTCAAGCACTGCCTCCAAGTATGGAAGGGGTATTGATAATAACAAAAAGAGTTTCTTTTTATCGTAACAAAGCCTTTTGCTTTTTGTGGTAYTGGGGAATAGAACCCAGGCCAGGCATGCTAGGCAAGTGCTTTACCAATGAGCTGCATCTCATCCCATGTTGTTTTGTATTTTGAGTCAGGATCTYACTAAATTGTAAATGCTGTCCTTGAACTTGCAGTTCTCCTGCCTCACCTACCCAAGTCACTGGGATTACAGGTGTGCACTGCCACCACTCCTGGCTTGTAATGAAGTGTTTTGCTGTGCTTTCAGGATGACACCCATCCTTGCTTTGGCATGTTTAAAAAAAATACACACATGAAAAAATAAAGTCTTCAATTAAAATTTATTTCTGACAAAATGTTACTTCTTGAATGTAGTTCTGAATGGACTTAAAGGCATCTGGATTTTCTACTGGGGATTTTGCAGGAATTTATGTGACATTTTGAGCTGCCTCAAAGAAGCATTTTCTCCTCACCATTGAAATAATAATGCAAAAGGAATGCCACATTCATTAGACACAACCTGCAATTGTTTTGGATTATTACCAGGAACCCAAAAGAAAATAATAAAGAGAGAACAAGTAGAAGTCACATTTTAGGATTCAGGATTTTTGTCAAAGAACTGTACTTGGATGCTCTTATACTATTTATTACCACTGAAGAAGAAATCTTCTTCCATATGAAGCCAGAATTCATTTTTAACCCTCCTCAACAGTCAGATGCCCTTTTATAAGGAGAAAAAAAAGAGCAGACAACTGTGGTTTAGTTGAAGGGTTTTCCCAATTCTACCCTCAGAGACTTGATTGCCCAGTGAAACTGCCTGACTACAGCTTCTTCATTCTTAAAAATGAAAAAAGAAAAGAAAAATCATAGGAACACTATGCTAAGGAACCCAAGGGAGAAGGGATGGGTCGGAGTCCCTGAAATAACACAAGAATGGATAGACTTTGAAAGACTGAGAAAGTCGAGTCCACAAGGACTGGTAGTAGAGGTTATTTATAGATGTGATCACAGACTGTCTCACTGCCTTGGACAGAACATATGGCAAGGTGACGAATACTTAAGATTCATACACTGAATTCATAAGCACTAATCAACAAGGTAGAGAAAGAAATAAAACATGGCATGGAGTGAGAGACATGCAAGCATAGCTTTGCTTTTTTGTGACAGAAGACGGTGCTTTCACCATCTTCCTCATCTTACTCAGAACACAGACCCTGGAGGAGGAGATTAAAAGTTGATACTGATGCATTCATCCTTCTGGAAAATTTCAAATTCCTCAGCTATGCTTTTCATAGAACAAAGGTTGACTAACAAGTAGGTTGAGTAACAGCCTGTCTTCTGTGACACCAGAGGACATCTCATCTACCCACTTTAAAAAAGGGGGAAAAAATGGAGTGGGTTGATGTGGGATGAGGACCTGAATCACCCAAGGAAAAGCTGGTTTCCTCTTGTGAAGCATGTGAACTTAATGAAAAATAACATAGAGAACATTAATCATCAGGATGTAAGTTGCTCATTAAACAAGAGGTCAGACACTGCAAGGACTCCATGTCCCAGGGAAGTGAATATAGGAGGGAGACGACAGAGTAGGTCACAGTTTGGTGTGACTCAGTGATGGAATTGAAAAGGTTAAGTGAAAAGTATTGTTAATGGATAGAAAGATTATATATATATATATATATATATATATATATATATGCAAATATATTTGATAATAAATTTATATATACACTTGTAGACACACACACACACACACACATATATATATACATATTTTCATCTATATTTATATTTATACCTTTATCTATGCCATAGTTTCCAAAACTGTGCAAGGAGTCAGTGAATCAACAAGAAAGGATGAAGCACCAGGGTTTATAAACTATTTCCCCTAAACCTGAAGGAGCAAAAGGAGGGTTTCCATTTGAGCTCCTCCAGATATAGTAAGACAAGGATTCCAGGTAAGTAGTTCATGAGACAGAGGAAGAAAGGAAGTTAGGAAGAAGAGGAAAGTTAGAAACTGAGTCAGAGAAGGAACAGCTAGTAATAAATAGGGTAAGATCAGTTCCCACTGTAGGCACTGGGCACCTAACACCATATGAATGCTCTGCAGGCTGATATAAAGCACAAGCCATAGGACTGGGTGCCCTGGGCCAGGGACTGAACTGTGGGCTCCAGCAGGGCTCACAGCGCAGGGTAAGGAGGGTATCCTCATGGAAGAATGACCCAATTGAGGGTGTGAGAGCCCCAAAAGGGTGAAAAGGGCATTCATGGAGCAGGGAAGCCCACTGTGGAGAGTCAGAGCCCAACAAAGAGACAAAAGAGGATTGGACAGCCTGGAGTGAAAAGGGAGAGCCTCAGCAGAGAGAGGAGATAGCTATACTGTGTGGAGTGGGTGGGAGGGTCAGAGCCAGCTTTCATACCAGGGATGAATCACATAAATAAATTCACCAATGATCTAAAATTCAGGTTTCTCACTGTCAGAAGTACCAGTTTTAAAAAAAAAGATTAGTCTAGGTGACACTATGGTGTTATATTGGAATTAATGTCAGGGGTATAAATCATGGATTTATAGAAGGATTCATACATACACAGAAATGTGTGCAAATATATATATATATATATATATATATATATATATATATATATATACTTGTACACACACACATATATATACACATATTTCCATCTATATTTATATTTATACCTTTATCTATCCATCTAGGTATCTATCTAGATAGATACATATCCCCAGCTCTGTCCACTGACTGGCCTTGGAGAAAGAAAATTCCATTAGCAATGACTAATCCCTAAATCTTAGATTCTAAAATCATTTTCCATTCAAAGAAACCAGGGCTGCTGGAGAAACAGCTGATCCGATGTTGGGACAGGGAGAATTTAAGCTGAGGATGGAAAATATTGTTCTATAAAAAGGGAAGGAAATCCTAAAAGAATGACGGAGATATGGCATAAAGACACAAGACCCAGTTTGACTGGGCTCCCACTGGTTAAGGATAAGGCAATTTCAGCATCAAAACATAATAATGAGWGGAGCAAAATTCTACTCATCAAATAACATAGGAGACCATGACACCATGAAGATATAAATGAACACATGGATAACYTGAAATTTTGAAGAACAGAAGATATACAAAGGTTCAACCTACTTYCCAACAAAGTATTTATTAACTGTAAAGGAGAAAAGAGTTTGCTTTACAATGAAGAAGTTTGACAGACACCACTTTAGTCAAGTAATTAAAATGAACATTTACAGTTGTGCAACAAATAAAAATTGTGAACTGCCTGGTGAAATACAATTAAAAGAGCACAATATCATTTCTGTGTTCTTTCTGACAAAGGTGAATTACCTTATTTTGATCAGGAAGAAACATCAGACTGACCCAAACAAAGGATATTCTATGAAATAACTGCTTGTAATCCTCATAAAAGCCAAGGCCACAAAGTCTAGATGGAGGAACTGTCCAGACTGAAGGACACTACAGAGACATGGCTACTAAACGCAGATGGAGATCCTGAGCAGGATCTTTGGCTACAAAATACATAATTAAGACAAAGGGAAAATCTCAAATACAATCTGGGAATGAGATGGTAGCAATGTATCAATGTTAAAATTCCAATATTGATGACTACATCATAGTCTTGGAGGACAGTGTTCTTTTTTGCAGGAACTACATACTTTTCAGAGATGATAAGACATTAGATTCAAAAACTTGCTCAGGAAAAGAGCAGTCCTTTTACTGTACTTCTATTTTGTGAATTTGGATTCTTTCAAATTTTAGAAAGAAGAAGAAAAAAGTGGCTGTCCCACTCATTGCACAAGGTCATTCAAGAACAAGGTCAAATTTGCAAGCGCCAGCAAAAATCATCATTTCTCTGCCCCAGCAAAATACTGTGAGGTATTTTCAGGTGCTGTGTATTAAAGTTTATTCTTTAATTCTTACTAGTGCTAAGATCTACTTAATAAATGGCTCTTCTTAAAACCAGTTTTTATTTCACAGAAATTTCATCCCTTTAACAATTCATTTTGAAATGTTCGATGTTGGGAGGAGGATGTTTTGAGGCACACCTTGGGACAGCCAAACAAAGCCATGAAGGCTGTCCTCCCCACCCTCACCCCCAACCACTAGTTCAGGGAACACCTCTGCAAACCAGCCAGGTGGCCAAGCCAGCTAAAAACAGAGAACACTATACTTGATTTAAATTATAAGTTCAGTACTATACTGTACACTTCCAGCATTACACACGCTTAACACAATATAAGTATGCATAATGACATATCAAGTCTCACTTTAAAAGTAAACCAGAAGCAGGGAACAACAAATTTAAAACTACGAAATGTCCTCATTTTCCATCAAGTTAAAATGTTTGTTATATACACACTGGCTGCTTCAGAAGCCTTCGGCATGTGGGCAGAAAGTGGAGAAAATATTCCAGCTAAGAATAATCCCATGTTACAGGTATTTAAGAATCTTTTTAGCCAAATCAAAGAAGATTATCTTAAAAGCCCAGGGCCTGTTTCCAGGCTGAATGGTTGTAGAAGGAGCTGTCCCCTCACCCATGTGTTCTTCTTCACGAGTTCTGGAGGTATCAAGCTGGAGGAGATCTATTCTGATTCCCAGGGTAACTTCAGTCTCTGGGGTAAAGCAGCTGGCCATCTCTATCTGGTTCTGTGGAGTCTCAACCCTGGAACTCCGCCCAGGTCCAGAGGGCTGCTCTAGACTCAGGGGAACCATTCTAACCTGTCAAGCCCAGAGGCAGCATGGCTGAAATTTGACAGCAGCCTCCTGGAACTGCAGCTTTTAGGCTTAGTGGATAATTCAGTCCTCCCCAGGAGAATACTTGCCAATTAAACACGGTTTGTTTGTTTGTTTGCAATTTTTATATGATCCACAAAAATGGCCAAGCTTGTGATTAATAGCACCATGAAAACACAGATAATGGTGGAAAACAGGATAATAAAATGAAGTTGCTTTTGATTCTGGGCCTGTTTCCTACCACGAATATCAACAAAGTAAACCATTTTAAATGAATTTGGGGGACTAAGATGTTTTTCTAGAGCAAAAATCTTCTTGTAGGAGAATATAAGCAAAGGATATAATTTATCAATATTCTCCCTACAAGATAAATATATATTATTGTATATATGTGTGTATATATACAATTWTATTAAGCAGAAGAGGAAAAAAAGGTCAACATAGCTCCTATTCAGAATGGTGCAAGCTGTCAAGTTTGCATGTAGACATATTTTTAAAAGGAAAACTGAGGGAAAAAGAAGACATCTTATCTCTTGATAGAGTGATCAATTCAGGCCCAGAAATTAGAGGAGAGTACTGTGTAGGTACTAATATATTGGTGACAGTATAGTATACATCAACATCCTGGAAATAAAACAGCTACAGTTGTGAAGAATCTCCCTCTACCATCTGATTTCAAAAGGAAAGCTCATGCCTACAGAAAGAAAAGGTAGTCTGTTCACAAAAATGAGGACAGATGCTGGCCCTTGGCTGCCCATTAGCTTTGCAGATTAATACCTTTGGCATCTTTAATTTTTTTTTTTTTTTTTTTTTTTGTAGATATGTTTGTTTTACTGGCTGGTGCATTTTAGGAGCAGAAGCAGAGAGACAGGGACTCTATCCTAGTGAGGTCTGTTTGTTGAGCCCACATGAGCAAGGCCTTCTATAAGGCTAGTTGCAAGAGGGTGTTTGTTTTGAGAGAACCCAACAAGAGTGAGGCAGTCTGTTAAAATCGCTATCCACTGATAGAGTCACTGGTCCAGATTGAACAAAACATCAGCAGGAGATGTAAGTCACAAAACCCGTCAGATTTTCTGTGGTCTAGGAATTGAAGGCATCTCGTACTTCCAAGTTGCAGGGAACTGGTCAGTGTGGTTCATGCCTGGGTACCAGAGAGTGGCAGAAATTATGGGGTCACATCTGTAACAAAAATTAAGCATAAATTCTTTAAAAGTATATGCCATTTYCCTTCAACAGGTTTCCCCCCTTTCCCTCTCATACCCTAATCCACACACATAGACACACACCATCTGAATTCTTCCCTATATTTCAAGACCCAGCACCAGTTCCTCATTTTTAAGTTTTACTTTCCCCACTCTCGAGGCCTACAAGACATTCTCTTAACTCTTCATTCTAGCTGCTGCTGGCAGGGAGGGGGCCACCTTCCTGAATGTCCCTACTCCAATGCAATAACCCCACTGTGCATCTTCCTGCTTCTCTGCTTTTTCTGAAGACTTGAGAACGGGCTCATCCCAAGCACTGGGCACATCTCAGGGATGAAGGAGAGCAAATGGCCCTAGCAGGCAGCTCCAATCCAGTGGTGATTGAATGAGTAGATAAATGCCCCACATGCTGTCCTCAGGAGAACAATTGGGGGGGGGGGCTGTGTACATTTTGCAAAAATGTGGTGAAGTCAAGCCTCTGTGATCTATAGCTGAGACCTTGGAAATGCATCTCCAACCACCCAGTTGCCTTTTTTCCTTGCTGTTTCATTCCCTTCTCTGCCACACCACTGCTTTTCCTGGGATCACCTCCCAAGTAAACTACTGGCAACCCAAGTCCCCATCTCATAGTCTGCTGTCAGGGACCCAAAGAAAGACAGAACACATTATTATGAATACAATGATTGGGATAATTTTTTTCAGTTGCAAAATAATAAAACAAAACTCTTTGCAACTATCAAAGCTATGGTATTAACTGCCTAGGGAACCAAACAAGTTATTGAACACTGTGGGCATCAATTTCTGTTATCTAAAAAAAGGAGGAGTGGACTAACTGTGCATTTTTAGYTCTCTTTACTGCTAAAGTTCCATGACAACAGAAATTATGTCTCTGCCTTCAATACAGCCCTTCACCACTAAGTGTAGCAAAGATGCAGTGAYTTCTTTTTCCTTACATACTTCACATCATTCCAGCCTCAAAGATGTAAGACATACAAATTTTCCACAATGGAAGCTCCAGACTTTCTGGATGTTCCTCAAACTAGGCAGCACCCAGTTCTAAATCTCAAAAGAATTGGGGCTGGGGTTGTGGCTCAGTGGTGGAGTGCTCACCTAGCATGCATGGGGCACTGGGTTTGATCCGCAGCACCACATAAATATAAAATAAAGATATTGTGTCCACCTAAAAAAAAACTAAAAAATAAATATTTAAAAAATAATAGGTCACTTTCACCTAACATTTCTGAGGCAATCCAAGGTTCCTAGACTTGCCTTCTCTTTACATAGAAACAACAATATCTTCATTAATTTCTCTTAATCCCATTCCCTGTAGCATCAGTCCAGATCTCTCTTCCTAATCTCAGTGCAAGATTTTCAAACATCAGTGTAGTCCCCACAGCACCATATTCAGGTACTGTCACTTAACTCACACTCAAATATTCATCCCATGATTTAATAAATTTTTCAACAAGGAAGATTTAGAATCCTTCCAGTTTTTTTGAAACAACAATTGGGAAATTGCTTCAATGAAGTTGTGGCTTGTGAACTTTTTATTTGGTTACTTACTTTTAATAGAAATATAGCTTGTGTTTAATATATTGAAAATAATATTCTGCAGAGGGCATCAATTCCATTGAGGTGAAAACCCACATTTTTTCAGAAAATATTAGGCCTTAGGGATATCTACCTTTCCTTTAAAAAATTAAAATTCCAAGGTTAATATAAACAACCCTCTTCTCTCCCCACATCTCCAGGTGGAGCTGTACCTGCAAGTCTTGGTTTCTTCGCCGCGTTCACGGCTGCCATGAACATATAGTCACTATTAGGGTCATGCACACTGGATCCATACTTCTGAAAGAAAAGTCAGAAACATGGTTCATCATCTGCTTTTTGCCATCTTCATGCCTATTTTCTATTCTTTGTTGAAGAGGTATGTGACAAAATTCCTGGCTGAAGGTTAAACCTAATAATACCAAAAAGGCTTTAATACAAAGAGTTTTCTGCCCAATTTTCTTCCTTATTTTTACATTTATTATTCCTTCCCCAGTAAACTTGGATTGTGGCACTTTCTCTTGTTCTTTCTTCTTTCCTCCTTTTCAGATTCTGTTCTGACACAGATACGCACACCATCTGACCAACAACCACACCCTGTATGCCCTGGACCTCTAACACACGTGCACAATATGCAGAATGGCATAGGTTCTTTGATTCAGAGCCTACAATGTAAAAGACTAAAAAGGATGTCCTACAGACATTCTTAATGGGTTTGGGTTTTTGTTGTTGTTGTTGTTGTTAGTTAGTTMGTTCGTTCGTTTGTTTTGCCATTGTTTATTTCTCAAAATACTTTTCAGCACTTTTCATTAAAAGCAAGGAGTCTAGTATCTTGCCAGGGAAAGAAGCTAGAATTTCCTTTTCAGTGACTACTAGCACATTATAATATTTTCTCACTGGTATTCTTCACTTACCAGTTATGTGAGACTTTCAACTAATTGTTTTGCCTTTTCCCTGACTCTTAGGAAGCTCAGATACAAATTTACAGCCCACCTTTAGTAATTTTAAAAATCAAAGACATCTATTTTTAAGTTTTAACCTCCTTCCTAATCTATTGACTTCCATAGACCCCAATTTTCTATCTTTTTAATAATAATAATAATAATAATAATAATAATAATAGTAATAACATATCTCTATAAGCTACTGAGTCCTTTTGGAATAAAGTGAGCTACAAAATAAACAAATAAATAACCTCTGTTCCAAGTTCTTATTAGTTTCATTAGTAGGTATATCTCAGGGAAAAGGACCTGTCAAACCTTTTGATCAAATAACTCTGGCAAAGAGCAATGTGTATTTTCTGGCAAAGAGCAATATATATTTTATAAATAACCACTCAGGAAAGCATATGCAAGAAGAGATAGAAATTGCTCACCTTTTTTGTAAACCGAAAAATAAAATAGCATCCCAAAGTGTACACTATCACAAAAGCTGCACATCCAATGGGTAACCAGAACTTCAGCTGGCAACAAAGCTGTGATTCTGGGTTGGAAAAGAGACACATTGATTAAAAAACAAATAAACACAACCTCCAAGAATCAAATCTCTTTCAGTGCTAAATCTCTAGTTCTTTCATAGAATTTAAAGGAGCTGTTAGTCCAATAAAGCTTTGCTTCATTACCATCAAGAAACTCAGTAAATGGTAGCCAATATCACCTCAGTATTATAGCAAGGATCCAGAAACTAATACTTTAAAAACTACAAATATATGTTTATAAATGTAGTCAATACTGTATTTTATAAAAGAGGAAGTAGGAAAAGTAATGCTATAGAACTATGATTTTTCAATCATCGAACTTCATTCCACAAACCCAGCAGCACAAAACCACTTTAAACCTTTGATTAATAGGTAATCACAATTAAGCCATGAATTGAGGTATTGCCTTAAATTGTTCTGTTTTTCATTGGCATATGTATTTTTTTTCAATGATTTTTTTTATTGGTTGTTCACAACATTACAAAGCTCTTGACATATCTATTTAAAGACAACATGACCTAATTCTAAGTCAACAGTGTTAACAGTCTATGTGATTAAACTACATATTACCAATAAATGCCAATTATGATTAATAATAAGTCATATCATATATTTCATCAAAAATGATATGCCCTTAACTACACCTAAATGAACTCCAACAGAAAAGGTACTTGCTTAGTTGTTTTCATTAATGAGAAAAATTGTCAGAATGTATATGTCCTCTTAAGCCCCAAACATAAAAGCAATGTCTTACCATAAATATGCAAATATTCTCTGCTAAGAATCTTTTCTTCAAAAGGAGGAGGATCAAAAATTGATAGGTTGCAGACATAGTAGCTGCCATGAGAACTGTCCAAGTTATTCAGAAAAAAGGAGACACTGTTGTTGGATAACTGAGATTGGCAGAATTTCATGTTATTAATGGACTCCACGTTTCCACTTGTCTTTATCTTAGTGAGTTCACAGAGTACTTGCCTCCCCTTCAGTAACTCCATTTTAAACTGCTGGACTTTCTTAGGGTACTTGCATAAAATTTGTACACCTCCATTGTGAAATGTAAACATATCATCAATTTCTCCTGGATAAAAAGAAAGAAAACAAAGCAAAAGTGATATTTTGTGAATATATTGCCCTAATAATTATATCTAATCATAAAAGTAATCTCTTGTCTTCATAAAGTCACCTCTATTGCACCAAAATGAAAGATTTTCATGTAGAGGCAAATACAGAAAAGAATATAACAAAAGGTGAAACTGTGACCTTCCCAAAAAACCTAATTAGAACTGTGCTTCTCTGATATGAATAAGTGATATGTAAAACATTAAGTATTAAATAATACATGTAAATAGACTAAATCAAACAAACATGGGCCCTCACAACGGAGACTGATGGTAAACTAATCAATATGCAGTGATACACCGTAATTTATGCTAGGAATGGAGAACTATACAGATATGTGGTTGGGATGGGATAGGTTATAATTTTTTTTATTTTATTTTTAATTTTTTTTTAGTTATCAGTGGACACAACGTCTTTGTATGTGGTGCTGAGGATCGAACCCGGGCCGCACGCATGCCAGGCGAGCATGCTACCGCTTGAGCCACATCCCCAGCCCGATAGGTTATAATTTTGACTAGAGGATCAGAAATGCCCATTCAAAGAAATAACTTTTTCAAAATAGAAATTGAAACCTGGAGAGCTGTTGAACAAAGAGAGATTAGGAGAAAGACTCTGTTTAAGAGAAAAACACTTTTAAAAGTACAAAATATCCAAAGCTAAAATTGAACAATTATGTATAAATAGATACTTACATTATACCCTCCAACTGCAGAATAAAAGAACAGATCAATTATGTTCAAATGACACCCAGAAATGAATAATAAAGGTAAGGTTTCAGATTTTTGCTTACTTTCTCACTTTTTAAGTAAACTTTAAGCTCAAAAAAACCAAAGTTCTTTTTGTGAGCTACATGGGTATCACAGGAGGAGAAAACTGAAATGGCTTTAGACTGGTTGCAGATTCTGAGCTACTAGTTCTTAAGTTCTTTTTTTACTTTTTCTGATTCTTGTATTTTTATTTTTTTAAAAAAGTTAAATTTGTTTTAATTAGTTACACACAACAGGAAAATGCATTTATGCACTTTGATATATCATACATAGATGGGATATAATTTCTCACTTTTCTGAGTGTACATGTTGTAGAATCACATAGGTCATGCAGTCACATATATACATACAGTAATAATGTCTGTTTCGTTCTACTATCTTTCCTATCCCCAAATCCCCTGCCATCCCCTCCCACCACTTTCCTCTACCTACTCTAAGGTAAGGCTATTCTTCCTTAGTGCCTCCTGCCTTATTATGAATTAGCATCCGCATATTAGAGAAAACATTCAGCCTTTAGTTTTGTGGGATTGGCTTATTTCGCTTAGCATGATATTTTCCAACTCCAACCATTTACTAGCAAATTCCATAATTTTACTCTTTAAAGCTGAGTAATATTCAATTGAATTTTTAAAAATATGATAAAGTTTCATTCTGATATCGGAAAAAAAATAATTACATTAATTTTTACTGACATTTTGAAATCTTTTTTTTAAGATTAAATAAGTATAAAAATTTTAAGGAAAAAAATTCCCAATTCTCCAGTGAAATAGAAATACTATTTGTATTTGTATTTTTTTTTGCTCTTTATCTTCCAGATTCATGCTTATTTTACACAGCAAATATTATTTTGTGTTCTGCTATTGTCATTTAATGGCATATCATGAACATTTGAATTTTTATGTAACTGTTTTAATTTTCTTTTTAAATGATTACATGATGTTCCATCATGTTAATCTATCATAATCTAATGAAACTAATTCACTAAGGTGGGATAACAGGGGATTTTCAGCATTTAGCTTTTATGTAAATATTATGGTGTTTGGTCAAAACATTTAAATATATTATGATAACAGTGCATCTTTTCATATAGCTTTCTTAATTAAGTGTTCCAATTTGCACTAAGACCAGTATCACTCAGGAGGATCCATTTGCTACACCTCTTCTTGCACTGATTGCCTCAGTTTCATTTAAAGTACACCACAATTATTTATTTTCCTTAATATATCTAGGCTTAAACTTATACCCCTTGTATTTCTAGGGAATAGATTTTCAGACTGGGGACTTGATTATGAAAAAAAGCACAAATGTTCCAGTTTTCAGTTATGGAACAGATTATTCAACAAAAAATAACCAAAAATCCTGAAAAATGTCTAAAAATAATATTAAAAGGATTAAATAGTTGACCAAAAGAGGAAAAAATAACAAGATAAATTTGAAAAGAGATCCAGAACCCAGAAAAAGGTATAGAACTTAGAAGTTGCGTTTTGCTCTGAAAGCATTTGTTGTTCTTCCAAGTTCAAACTTCTTTTATATGTGTTTTATCTTGTAGGATCTGCAAAGTGAGGAATCTAGCAGACTTTATCCTCAATAATCTTGGTCCCCAAAGAGTTACATACTTGAAGTAAAGGAAATCAGAAGTAAACAAACTCTCATGAGGAGTTTCTTCCACCTTCAAGTCACTTCAATATTCCAGAAAACCTCAGTCCTTGAATTTGATTTGAGGAGATACTTAACTTTTATTACCATAGGTTTTAAAAGCAAAATCGCAATCTATTCTAAGAAAAAGATTTAAACACTACAAATAACAATTAAATATAATGACAAGAAAACTATTTTTAAAAAGCAAAACACACAAGGAATAAGGCAACAATAGGAACAACAGACTGAAATAAGACAGTTGAGCTTGTTATGTTAAAGGAAATAAATGACAAACTCATAATAATATCAGCAGAACACAAGAAAAATTTTTAAGTTGACTAATTTGAAAGAACCAATTAGAACAGTTAAAAACATGGCACAAACTGAGATTAAAAACTCAATGAAGAGTTTAAAAGCATATTAGACAAGGATATAGAGAGAATTGAAGAACTAAAAGATAGCTCAGAATGCACTCACAATCCACAGATACAAGAATCCCAATGAATCACAAGCAAACTATATTTACACCTACATATATCTTAGTGAGAATCCTAAAAGAAGCTAGAGAAAAAAAATGACTTATTACTTTCAAAGAAGCAGTTGTTACACTGTCAAGTGAAATCTCAGCATCAGCAACAAAAGCCATGATGCAGTGGAATTACATATTATATTTTCAATGTGCTAAAAGAAACTACCTGTCAACCTAGAACATTCTCTCTAGGAGGACAGTAAAGGTATTTGCAACTTGAAACGTTGATGGTGAAGCATGAGTGTTGAGACTTCTTGCATGATCACTAAAAGAACAAAACTAGAATTTATACCCTAAATAAGTATCACAAAACTCAGCCTAATAGTTTTGTCTAAAGTTGGGAGGGGTGGATTAGAATGATGAAGGAAACACACAGAGGTGAAAAGCCTTCTGTGTGTGGGCAATGTTTTATTTCTTGGCCTGTGATTATTATAGGGAGTGGGATAATATGCTTTACCATTATTTATTAAATTGTGCATTTATGTTTTGGTCACATTTCTATATAGACATTTTGTTTCACAATAAAAAGTCAAGTATATGGAGAGGAAATAATCCTTGTTTCAATTTTTTAAACAGAAGGAACAAATTAATCAAAAAGGAAAGAACTGACAGCAGAAGATAGCAGCAGTCTACATTAGATAAAAATGAAGGGCATTTTGCTTGAGGATTTATTTGTCCTAGAGTGAATTTTGTTGTACAATTGTTATTTTGATGCTTTTTTCCTCTACCATCTACTGCAGAAGATAAAATCAGCAGACTGGTTCTCTTGAAATTGTTCAGAGCAAATTTCCCAGAGACTTTAGGATGGCAGCAAGTAAACCACAAAGAGGTCTTGGGGCAAAGGTGTCTGCTGCCACTGTATACACAAAGGAACATAGATGCATTGTGTTCTGTTTTTGAAGATAACTTGGTCAGCAGTTTTTCCCCCTTTAGTGCAGACTCTGTGAGCTACCACCCAACATAAGTTGAAATGTAATGGTGGATATACAATGCACTGTTTCTCAAGGAAACCAAAACCAAATTCTGGTCTAGCGAGGCTCTGTGACTAGGGTCCCTCTCTAAACTTCAGTCTCTTCATCTGTGAAATAGGAAATAAAATGGAAATATCTTTCCAAAAGTTACTTTCTCTGGATCATAAGAGCATACCCTCCTGAGATTGCAAAAAAACCAAGAGAGCTAAAACATTGCAGTTGGGTGAGTTCTCCTTAGAGGAGGCCATATTCCCATAATCTTGACTTTAAATGGAATATTCTAAGAAGCAGGAAAATTAAAATGAATGCAACTACATTTCTTACCACAAAAGTATTTAGAAGGGCCAGGAAGGGTTTCATTTTTCTTGAATGATAGTATCAAGTTGTGTGCCATTGACATCAAGTAGGGATTCCAACTTGCCACTTCTACTGGGCACTCTTAACTATTCCTTTTATCATGTTTTGCTACAAAACCACCTGAGTCACCTTTTCACTATGTCTGTAGTCTGTAGCGGTTAAGATGGCTGACTCAGGTTTCTCCATGCCCAATGCTTAAGCTTTCTATCTGGAAATCATTTGGTGAATCCAAGTCTGCAATTTGAAGGTTTTCAACCATGGTAATAATCTATTACTTCAAAATTATGTTGATGCCTATAGAGGAGATATGTTCAAATACCAAACCACAAATAATTCTCCTCAGTCTTTAATAGCATTTTGTAAAAATAATATCAAAAGGAGAGCATTCATTACAACAATGATTAACAATTAGTGAATAGACAACTTATGGGAAATCTGAATATGTTCATGTATTATAACTGCAGAAATAGCTAGAATTGTTTCTTCACCCCTTTTGATGTTCTGATCTTTGAGCCTAATATTCAACCTGGAGAAATGGTATAATTTTAATATCCAGTGTCTGCTTTGATTGGTTGGATATCAAATCTGCCTGGTTAATTGCTCTGCTATACCAGTAGTTAAAGCTTTATGAGTGTCATCCTCTTTGAGCTCTTTCTTCTTGCCATTTTTTTTCATTTGTCTCA